ATTAATTACAAAAGATATTTTGGCACATCATTGTGCTTTGCAGATTAGTTTTTGCCATTGGCCATTCCTTGGTCGGCTTCTCCTCGGTCTGCCTTGTCCGTCCATATTGTGTGTTGTTGACGTTTTTGCGTCTTTGTACCGTGTCGGCTTTCTGTTTTGATCCTATGCTTTGTTACGTAATGAGCGTTATGAATGTGGTCAGAAAAGGTGGTTGAACTATTGTTACGGTCAGTTGAGGGCAGCTAGTCAGATTAGCAATGTCTTTTGGCCATTTCATGCTACTTTAAAATCACTATGAAAACCGAGAATGCAGGAACATTCTATTAAATTCTATTAGATATTATATGTATAGCGGAATTAAAGCCTACATATTTCATTCTAAATACTTTTACCTTTGCTATAAATATTACTATAAATATACAACCTACACACACTACATTAAAGTTAATTAATCTAAGTTGATTTGCACTCGCTGAATATTTAACACATAAACGTATTAACAAATTCCATGCAAATATATAATTGTGACTTTTTTTCCTACAATCGTCCTCGCTAGCTACCCCAGACAAAAAAGGCCGAAATACTTGCTAAACATCGCTATGCAATCAGCTCAAACAAATCCTTCTGGACAGTCGAAATAAACAGGAGAGAAACGACGAGGAAAAAGTTGGTGGAATCTATTAATAGCAATATATATATATATATATATATATATATATATATATATATATATATATATATATATATATATATATATATATATATATATATATATATATATATATATATATATATTGCACGAACACTTTTCGCTATCTTGGTAAATGACCTAGGAGATGAATTAGTGGACATAATAGACGCTCTGTCACAATTGGCTGACGACTCCTCGACATGGCGGTCAGCGAAATAGAGATGTACAGCAACAGATGGATAATGTTGATGAGCGAGTGTGTGTTCCACATAAATGCCTCCAAATCTGAAGGAAGGGTATTAAACCACAGAAATCAAAGCACAACTTCTAAAAAATTCTAGCTCAAAATAACACTAAAAAAAAAGTCAACACAACAAAATTGGTTTGGTATCACTCTAAATCCTATGCTTAAACGTCGGCATGGTTATGATGGCTGCCGGAAATGACCATACCGTGAATCCGTTTTTTAACAATATTTTATGGTCATTTCAGAAATACACACTTATAATCGTTATATTTACGTATTGTTCAACGATACCGATTTTAACAATGGACGCTTGGTGCTTGTTACAAATTTGCCATTTGTACATTTTCTTTAGTTCGTGGGGTGTTGGAAAAAATATATGAATTAGCATAGATTGATAAACTGCACTGTGGTGGGTAAAACGCCGATATTTTAAATACTGCTTTTTGTTTATTTTGCACACCCAACGTACTGTTTACTAATTATCACTTTTAATCAGTTTAGAAGCCACTCCTAAATGTACTCTATGTTTACTTCTAACTTTCGGTTTGTGGACAAGCTGGGGGTATTATAATCTTTAGCTAATTTGAATCAGCCACAATCGCCGGCGCCCCGGCAGGATGCTATTTGGCGCCCCGAACCTTCCTGTGAGTGCTAAGGCGCATACGTTCATTTTGATCAGTGCGGCAGATTATGAATAAGATTGGGTACTATAGTCATTTACTAAGTTGAATCAGGTGGTTCGCCGGTGCCCCGACAGGGTGCGATTTGGTGCTCCGGGCAATACTGTGAGCACTATACTTTTATGTTAGCATTTAAGTTTTGTGTTTATTGTTTGCGTTTTTGTGTTTGCGGTTATGTTTGCGTTAACGTTTGCGTTTTTGTTTACGTTCGCTGATGTGTATCCGTTTGTGTTTGATTTTGGGTTTGTGTTTTCGTTTGTGTTGCGTTTGTATACGTGTGTGCTTGTGTTTGCGTTTTAGTTCGTGCTTGGGTTTGTGTTTTGGTTGGTTGTGATTAGGGTTAATTCGAAAATTTATATTTTCCCTAAACCCGGTCAATGCCAGGTATATGCTGCTGAATAAACACACAAGTCATGGTCGTTTACAGATAGGTTTTTCACAGAGGCCAGAGGAGGGCCTGGCCGGGAAGGCTAGTGTAGATATATATATATATATATATATATATATATATATATATATATATATATATATATATATATATATATGTGTGTGTGTGTGTGTTGATCAAGTACTAATATTCCGCACTATTATACACACAGTGTTTGCTGTTCACTTGGTGCACAGTTATTTTTTTTACCAGATTCTATTCTATTTTATTCTATTTTAAAAAGTTTTAATTATTTAAAAATTGATTAAAAAGCATGTCAAAACCCCGAGTTGTAATACCGCGTATTGTTATATAAGAAAATTCGCGACATTTTAGCGGAGATCACTCCAATTTTATTTTTATTTATTAAACAATGCCCACCATATTGCAGTGATTGTTCTTCAAGCAAAAATAAAACTTGTCACGAGGGAATGGAGGCAACCGAGTTGACGAGAATCCTTTCATCATATTGTTGACATGGATTAAAAACTAGCTTTTTGTTTTAGATTTTGCAATCAAAGCGACCGCAGAAAAAAAAAAGTTAAGACTAAAAATAATTCAGAAATGTAATATTTTTAGAATCGATGTTATTAAAGTTGCAAATCCTACTTTTCTATTTATTTTCATAAAGCCTACGTAAAAACCAGAGTTTCACTTTCGTAAGACAAACATTGATTTGCTGTACAGGAACTCCGTGATTGATTAGTGACAGCACAAAACTTTGCAGATAAAGTTTTTAAATAACAATGCAAATTTAAACAACATGCCCTAGTTCTGCCATTTTTTTTCAAATTGCATAAAAAAAAAATATGCTAGCCTATCGAATAGCAGGATACCATCGTTTAAGGCGCCATTACATGTGAAAACCAAATAGTTTTTGCGTATTTTTTTACATTTTTACTTTCTCGTATATACGAAGTATAGAGAAAGTCTTGTAATTGTGCACAAAAATCACATTAAATTTGGACAGTTTTCACCGTTTTACTCCTCAGTCCTTCATTACATCCGGGATGTAGAGGACTTATTTTAATCGGGCAAAAATTATAAATCCAGATATATCAAAATTTTAGCGTTTTATGCGTAATGGAGTCGGAAAAACTGGATTATCCAATTCTGTCTGTATGTCTGTGTGTGTGTGTGTAAACACGATAACTTGAGTACCGTTACAGTTAGGTTGATGAAATTTCATATATAAGTATTATATCAAAATTGTAGATCCGTATCAAATTTTGAGCGATTTCCGATAACCGGAAGTGGAACTTTTTCTTCTTTGAATTTTTCAAAACCCTATAACTTGAGTACTATTTCAGATGGGTTAATGAAATTTCACAGGTAAGTAAAATATCTAATTTTCTGCCTTCTTTCAAATTTTGAGTAATTACCGTTGACCGGAAGTAATAATTTTCGCTATTTCCGATTTCTCAAAAAACGCATGTGAATTTATAATGTACTAAAAATATTCCGCACTATTTTGCACATTTTATATGACGTTCACTTGGTGTGCAATTCTTTTTTTCTACGAGATTTTATTCTATTTTAAAAAGTTTAAGTATTTAAAATGGATTAAAAGTCATGTCTATATCCCGAGTTGCCATTCCCTGTTGTTTCATATAAGAATATTCGAGAAAGTTTAGGGGAGATCACTCCCTGTTTATTTGTTAAGTTACCAAAATAATAAAAACATCAAATATTTCCAATCTTTAGTAAAAATCCGAAAAAAAAGACTAGATTTTATAACCGTATTAAACAACTTCGTGCATGATTTTTAAAATATGTAATTGGCATCTCAAATACCTTTGAGACTTTTCTCGCTCGGTGCCATTGTGATGGCTTACATAGAACAAATTATACAAATTATGAAACTTTTGCATACTAAAACAGGTATAATTTTCATATCTTGTAGAATTCTGACCAGTAGCTTTGTCATACAAGTTGTCGTGACAAAATTTTTAAATAGACTAACTGAAATATTAGCAGTTTAAATTTGATTGCTATAAATAAGTGCATAAATAAAAAAAACTTAGCGATTTTTAAAGTACCCAAAAATTCAAAATGGCTGAGGTTTTTCGGGTTTCCATGACAACCAAAATTGTTTTCAACCCTTTTTTTTGTTGTTTAATATTTACTTTCCATGTGCTAAACATGGTAAAGGAAAGTATTCAAAGGCTTTAGATCATAAAATGTAAAAATATAAATAATCTGAGCATATCCCCTTTCGTATTAATCTAGTTAATCTCTTTCCCATCAAGACTGTAACAAGACAACATTGACCTCAGTGTACAATTACATGATAAGAAAAACCAGGTTTGCGCGTCATATTCGGACTAGAATTGTAGAATCGGCCAAATGTGTCTAGGTAAAATGCGAGACGGGAAACGGTAATATGCGAGAAGGCTGAGGAAAAGGCCGGTACATTTTACAAGTTGAAAACTTTTCTTCTCGCAATCTCGAGCAAAAAATGAATCGAAAGAAATGTCTCGCAAGTTGTGTCTCGCTTTTTACCCGTAGTTACGCAGGTATGCCTCGCATTTTTCCGTCTCGCTATTTTACCTTCTCGCCATTTTGACTCTCATTTTATTAAAACCCCAAAAATATGCAGTATCTGTTTTACTGCTATCAGGCCTAAATTAACTAGATCTAGATCTATGTTTTCATTATTTTTTTTAATGTCAAGAAAACATATCCATGCAGGATGTAGATAAGATCTAGAATCATCTAGATCTAGATTCTACATGGATTTTTTTCTTGACGTTTTGTAGAAGCTTTCGGGCCTTGATGCGATGCCATTTTCAATAATTAGGAGCCTAATTAGTTAGTAAGTTAATTAGTGTAATTAGATCTACTGTACATAGTGCTATCTAGACATAGAATTCTAGTTCTAGTTAGATCTATCTAGATCTACTCCAACTACTGTTGGCACTGTTGGTTTAATACTTGAATTGGTATCCTACTTACCGTAGAGATCATAGGTAATTTAGTAAGGCAGACTACCTGGAAGATCTAGATAATAGTAGATAAGGAATCTGTGTAGAACTGTTGATCTAGTATACTAGATCTGGATACTTGTAGTGGGTAGATCTGGAAAAAAATTAGTAGGCCTACTGATATAGATCTAATAGTAGTTTATAGTAGGCCTTCCAGATTTAGATTCTATATCTAGTGCTTCGTCTTAATTAGGTCCTACCTGAAAATTTTAAACTACATCTATATCACCTGGATTTTAGATCCAGATGGTTTAGAAACACTGAAGTAGGACTTAGATCTAGTTTCAGTTTTAGTAATAAGTAGGGCCAAGATTCTTGGTCTTACTGAATGCTAAACAGAGGCGTAGCGAGGGGGGGCGTGGGGGATACATATGTCCCCGGGCGCCGACCTTATGGGGCGCCAAAATGGGTTGTAAAAACAAATATCTCATTTTAGCTGCAGTTTTGCATTATAAATCTAAAAAATTAATGACGGGGGGTGCAGATTTAAATTATGAGGGGGGGGGGGTGATTTTTTGAGGGGGGGGTGCAAATTGAAAAGTTGTTCCCGAGGGGGGAGGGCGCCAAATTGTATGTTTGTCCCCAGGCGCCGGGAAAGATCGCTATGCCTCTGATACTCTATAGCATTTAGATCTCTAGATTCGAGGCCAAGAGTCTAGAAATACTCCTTGTAAGTTCCAATCAAGTTCTCGTTCTCTCTCTCACTTAAATTCAAGTCTTGTAGCCAGGGAGAGATAAAAGTTTTCGAACAAAAAACATGGCGGCTATTTATTATTAGGCCCCGCTTCAAGATTTAAAAATTATTAAACTTTCCATAAATGCAACAATTGTAGAAACTTTCAACGCTGTTTTGTTCATATGGATGGGAACAAGTACATGTGCATGCATTTAGGGCAACTTGTTGCGGGTTCAAATAAATAGGCTAATAATTAGCTGTACGCTTCTTTAAAAAAAAATTACAATTAAACGTAGACTTTATTTTTCTTTAAGCTACCCTACATCTTGTAGTCTATCATTATCATTGTTTGGGATTGAAAATACAACAGAGGAAGCAACTTCACTCTTTTTTTCCGATTTAATAAAAATATTCGCATTTGGTTTGAAAAAAAAACCCGCTGGCAAACACCAAAATGAGAACTTGGTAACCTACTTTTTACAACTTACAAGTTCTATAGCTAGATAGAACCATGAGATATAGAAAATCTAGATTAAGAGACAGTAGAGACTCTAGATTGATTTAAACATAAATTTAGCCAACACTAGATCTAGAGATTAGCAAGGTGCAGGAAAGGTAACTAATGGACATGGCTTTAATAAATTAATATGGTAGGGTCTTTATTGATCGCTCATTTTACACAATGTAACAGATATTTGGGGAAACTGTCATTTTGATGTTGCCTACATGTCATAGACTTGATGAATAATCAACATTATGTAAACATGTCTACATGAGGTCTAAACTAAACACAGCCAACTGAGCTGGAAAAGGTAACTAATGAATATCATTTTAATTTATGCAAAATTTTGTTATAGTTAAAATGAATCATAATTTATTCGACCGGTAAAATATAAATAAAATCTGGTGTAAAATTAATGTTTTAAGTAACTGACATAAGGAAACTAATAAAAAAAACAGTGTGCACAGAAATTAGCAACAATTTATTAGTTGTAGCTACTGTAGCTAATTACAGTATAATTAATGAAGGCAAGTGTTACAATAGAAAGGAAAAGTCTATGTAATCATACTAAAAAAAAATTGTGTCAAGGGGGAGGGGTTCAAAAAGTAAGATGACACTTTTCCATGTTTAACAAACACTTATGTTAAGAAACTGAATTTAAGCCTTTATTTGCATTATTAAAAGTTGTTTTATAAATTGTTATAAAATAATTCATCAATAGGCCTACACTGAATGTTGGAAAAGATCATTGGTCTAAATATTTTATAAAAATCGCTGCTTTAAAAACAAAATTAATTACGCTTTACTTATTATTACAATGGAATATAGCCTAGTAGTTTATTTATTAATACTAATAGTTTCGCTGTCTGTCTATGTATCTATCTGACAAGAACGCTCTAGAGAAAACACAAGCAAATTAAAAACTTTCATAGTAAAACGAAACGAAACATGACGTCATATAGTAGAAAATAATATAAGCCGGAGAGTGCACACAGTAATATGACGTCATTGATTCTCGAGTAAACATTGAATAAAAAGGCAATTTTGTCTAATCTAAGTGGTTTGCGTGAAGAGTTTCTTTCATACAATTCTTCGGGTAGGGGCGAAGCCCAACCCCCGCGTAAGAACGTCTAAGCCCCCCCCCCTCCCCAACTCAAAAGAAATTTCTTCATCGATACTCTATAATAAAATTACCGCCTAATTAATGTGTCTAATCTAAAAAGTGGTTTTCTTGCAATTTCTTTAATGCAGTTCTTCGGGTAGTCGCTAAGCGCGACACCAGTGTTTCTTTCAGACTTTTTCCTCCCCGGAGGGGGGACTTTTTCTAATCTAAAAAGTGTTTAGCGTGCAGTTTTTTTTTTCAAGCATCTCTTCCGGTAGGAGCGAAGCCCCGCCCAGATTCTTCCTTTAGTTTGTATGATCTACAAATGCGACCAGTGTTTCTTTCAGACTTTTTCCTCCCCGGCGATGGGTGGGGGGTAGTTGAATTTTTTTTGGGCGGGGGTTGAATTTTCTGGGAGGGGGCGGACACTGGAAAAAGTATATAATTATATTTCGTTGAATGGGACGGTAGACATGTTTTGGGGGAGGGGGGGGGGGGGGCGGAGCCCCCTCCTCCCAAGTACAGTTGCCTGAAAGAAACTCTAAATGCGACTTTTGTCATGAATGAGATAAGGTGCACGGTTTAGGGATATGCCTATGACTATATTTTGTATAAATTAAAGTACCGATTCTGGATAAAAATCCGTTTTCAATGTCATTTTTTGTTTCCGGTTAAATTAAATTGAGAAAATTTGAGAAAATAGACAGCACTATCAACCTAGCGCCCGTTGTATCCTTCCTCAACGGGCCATTTTTCTCGTATATACATATTTGTTTAGTATGAAACCATTTTTTTTTGTTTCATCGGCCTTCATTGTGTTTTTATTTATTTCTTCAGAGTGCTAATTAAAATTTATTTTACATCATATCGAAGAAATATCTTACAGCTAATATATTATATATATATATATATATATATATATATATATATATATATATATATATATATATATATATATATCTATATATATATATATATATATATATCTATAATATAAGCGGGCTGTGCTTGTCCTTCCTTCCTTCTGTCCGTCCGTCATCGCTATAGATTTTGGGACTATAAAAGTAAACTACGCACCATGCTGTGCTTTTCAGTGCACCGCAGTGTCTTATTATAAGTGTTAGAGTAGGGTTTGTTTATATAGCGGGGGGGGGGGGGGGGGGTGGGGTGGAAATCGAAAGTTTTAGGGCGGGGGGGGGGGGGGGGGGGGGGAAGGGGTGCAAATCGAAAGTTTGAGGGGGGGTGCAAATCACTGGAAAGGGCGCGATTTGGCGCTACGGGCTAGACTGTGAGCAATATGCCTTTATGATTGCATTTAAATTGTGTTTATGTTATGAGTGTTGTGTTTGTTTTTTCGTTTTTTTTTTTTTTTTTTTTGCGTTCGTTTATGTTGTGTTAAGTTTTGTTCTGTTCCCAAGTTGGTACATTTAAAAAATATTTACCGTGGCGGAGCACGGGATGCAGCTAGTATATATATATATATATATATATATATATATATATATATATATATATATATATGTATATATATATATATATGTATATATATATATATGTATATATATATATATGTATATATATATATATATATGTATATATATATATATATATATGTATATATATATATATATATATATATATATATATATATGTATATATATACATATATATATATGTATATATATACATATATATATATATATACATATATATATATATATATATATATATATATATATATAAATATATATACTTATAATATATAGAAAATATTACAAATTCTGCGCCTTTTTTTGCTATTTCCGCTCCCCCTACACCGAAAACCTGGATACGCCTCTGATTACTATACTATAGTCTATACTCTATATTTAAAGTTAATAGTAATAATTTAATAGATACATTAATGTATAGCTGGTATAGACTAGTTTTAGAGACTAGTCATATAATATTAAATAATAGTTAGTCTTAGTCCTTAGTAATTAGTTAGTAGAGGCACTATATAAACCAAGTCTAATCAATGATTAGTCTAATAGTCTAATTAGTTACAGACCACTTATTGTTTAAATATATTTACGGTTGTAGTAGTATTAGTAAGTATAGTTACTGTACACAAAGTATAGTTATTAGGTATAATTGCAAAATCATGACATTGGTGACTCAATTATTTAGTAGGTCAATAGGTTGTATATTAATTTAATTTTAATAGTTAATACTTACTAAATTACTAGATCTGTACAACACACATTTTATTTAGGATAATTTAGGCTATGGTACTGATGACAGTCCTAATACTTCAATTACATTATTATTATGAGGTTAGAGGTAATTACTAATTAGACTTATGATGACTTATGTTAGTCTCATAACTAATAGATTCATATTTAATAGCAGTAGGCCTATAGGCTTAGAGTAGTATTGTAAAAAAATAAAGTATGCTTAATTGTTTACAGTTGTCATATTACTTTTAATTTTTTGTAGGCCTATGTAGACTGTATATCTAGATGCAGTAGCTTAGTAGTAGTCTAGTAGGCCTGTGATTGTGTTGGTAGTTAGTTTTAGTATGTAAGTTAAACAAAGTTAACTAGGCTTTAAAAGGCTACAATTTTATATAGTAAAAGTTATAGGCCTATGTAGCCTAAATAAAAGGTTACAGACTAGTACATTAAATAATATCCAAAATTTAAATTTAATCTAGATTAGTAGTCTAACAGTAATTTTAGGCCTCTTATAATAATAGTAAAAATTATTAAATAGAAAATTAGGCTTACTAGTGAAGAGCTGTCTTATTTTAGTTCTACTTAATTAACTTAATAT